GGGGGTCAAATTTTTTGTGACCTACCTTGGAAAAGTCCTGTCAATACAGCTGATTGCGAAACATTAGAGCAGCTTGCTTCCTGTTCCAGCTCAACCATCTGTTTGTTTGTTGATGGCTGGACATCAGCACCTTCCAAAGCAGCACCTGCTTTGCTTCAACTTTTCCAAGTCTTATCTACATACCCTCACCTCCCCCTCTCCTCAAATAATAATGGCACAGAATGGTCACCGAAGACACATTGCATAACCATGCTTGCTACCACGTTGCGTCAAATGTTCTGAAAAGCCCTATTGATCTGATTTATTTGGCTTTGGTGTCCGCTGCAAACAAACACACGGTTGAGCTGGAACGGGAACTGAGCTGCTCTAACATTTCGCAATCAGCTGTAAGCCAAATCATGCTCCGAAAGAAGTTGGGAAATTCAGATGCACGGCAAACACCTAATTTACATATTTACTGTCCGAAATTTTGACTGAGAATATCTAAAATCCATGTTCCGCCACCCCCTTATGCTTGTCCAAGTGGGTAAAAAATCCGCCTACATTTTAAATTTGAGATATTGTAGCGTAGAATTCTTTCTTGTACCTCTAATATATTTCCATTAACCCGCCAACATTTTTCTGGCCTGCTCAAACATGTTTTTAGTCTGCTCAAACACTTTGTAGCCCACTCAAACACTTTGGTAGCCTGCTCAAACATTGCGAAATATTATTCACTCCGCCAACATTTTCTTTAGCCCCACACACATTTTGTAAGTTGTCAAGATATATTCTGCCTCATGAGCAGATTTAATTAAGGCTTTCCATTTTAAGAATGCTGGCCTGCTGTGCTTATGTAATTGAGCTCTCTTGGCACATTCAGCACAGCCAGGGGGAGCTCTAAAGTACTTCATACACACGCATGAACATGTAATTTAATCAAAATGAATTGTTTATAAAGCTCTACTACATTGAGCTTCTTACACTTGTATGCTTCAAATGGCAAGAGCAGCTTCCCAGATATGGGAAGCTTGCTATGCCTAGAACGTGGTGAGATATCCATGTATAGCATGCGATCAGTATTGTGCGCAATGAATAAACCAATGTAAGTACTCATCTTATTCCTTGCAACTCTATCCTGACTCAAAACACCCACTTTACATAATGTATACATTCATTTTTGAAATTCCATCCTTTCTAGCATAGCGCACGCATCTTTACGTGTGTTGTTTCAATTGGTTGTAAGTAGAAAAATGAAATATAATACCTTTTGTTTTTTAAAAAACTATGTGAAAGAAAATATGGAACTCACCATTGCGTGAACAGCTTTTTCATGTGAGATGCCACTGCTCTGCAGTTTATCTGCTCAGTTCTTGCACTCCTGCGTCTGTCCGGCAGCGTTTATGCGTGGGATTAAGTCTTCGTATATACATAATTCTGGCCTTGCTTGTGTTCTTGCATGTCGTTTCGGCTCGTAGTAGGTAGTGTTGGCAATAGAGGATGAACTATATTATGTACAAGTTTCTACAGTCCTTATATACCTAATTACTATGTATCTATCTAGTGTTATCTTCATACTCGGGATTACTAAGTTAATAGTCCGATATTACTAATTAATTAAGTGCGAGAATGTACTGGCAAATGCCGGATTGTACTATTCCAACAGGTAGTAAAATGTAATGCAACACCTTCTGTTAGTGGAAAACATGTATAAGAGGTATTTCTGAAGGTATGTTTCCTCACTGTACAGTCATGGACAAACAAAGACAACAATTTTGGTGATTGTGAGATGGGGACCCTGCACAACCCTCAATATTACTTTTTATTGCAGAAACATGGAGATTAGGACCCAACACTTTGATTTACACAAGCTGATTTTTCGAAATCAATGAAATGGGAAATTTTAGCCCAAAAATATTGGCCGGACCCTGAATGAACCCTTAAAATTATGAAAAATAGCGCAATCGACTCCTTTTTCAACTCTGTTTCTGATCCTGAAGTTTGGGGAAAATCTGATGAGCTGTTCTTGTAGAAAAAAATGATTTTAAGTCACCTAAAATGGCAACTCAGAATCTTCCCACCCCCACAGACCCTCAATGAACCCTGGCCTGTTGACCCCTGTGATACTGCCCAGAGGCCATAGTCAAACAATGGTATATAGCTAGATTTGGATATCTTACATAATTATTGATCTTTTACCATCTTGTCAGCAGTCTTGCCATCCTCTTGCACTACATGTAGTGCTTTGTATATCTGTACTTCCTACAGTATGCATAATCATGTTGGGCCAGCTGAGTATCTTGTAACTGCTCATTGCTCACTTATGGGTGTTGA